CGGAGTGAGCTGACCATCTCTTCTCCCACGGGGTGAGACCTGGCTCCTAAGAGGAATCAGTACTTGCAAGGTCTCTTCGCCTCGGTGGGGAGATCGACTGATGTTTTGGTTAGTCCTAGGCCGGTTTTGACTCTAATGGGCCCCTGGGTGCCGAGGTGGAACCGACAGCTGGTTCTGTGGCAGTGGAGGGAACTGATGTTGATTCTGTTGGTAGAAATAATGTTGTTGGTACTGTTGAAACTGCTAAACCTGTTGCATCTGGATCTAGATAGCTCGGGCGCACTGAACCAAGTTGTTGAACTGGAACTGCCCGACTCCGGGGGGAACCACAGAAGGCTCGGAAAAAGTTGTGCCTACCACTAGGGGAAGTGGGGCACTCACCTGTGTAGTGTTTGGTGGTGTGGTCAGTGTTGGAACTCCAGACGCAGTAAGCGGGATGGTGAATTGTCCGATGCACACCATAGGGGGTTGGGGTTGCCCCCTGGAGATGTTCATCTCTCTGCTTTTTCCGGTATGACTGGAGGATGCCATTAATGTTGAAATCAAGGTTGGTAGCTACGAAGAATGGGGATGACCTTTTGATCGCTTCCCACAAACAGTGCCAATTGTTGTTGCGCGATCTGGCTACTCCTAGCTGGAGGGCGATTTGGCTTCCAATCGAGCAGCGAGCTAGATCTATCTGCAAGACAATGGATCAGAGAACCTGGGTAGCTAACCCGATGAGGTCGCTCCGATGCTTAAATCAGTAACTTTGCTTCGCGAGCTAAAAGCTTGAGAATTTTGAGAGCTAGTGAGTAGAGTAATCACGCATACCTTTGGCCTTGAGGTTCCAGTCTTTATATACTGGAGTTGTCGTGGATCTTACGAAAAAGCTCTAGGATCTCCAAGGCGTGGAGATAGAGTTCATTCCGCTTCCGAAGGAGCGGTATGTAGATAAGGTATATCGTTCCACTTCCGACTCTAGCGGAGTCAGGATGAGTCCTCATAGTGATCTCGGAAAAGTCGGGATCTGTTACGTCATCATAATCTCAAAAAATTTGGGATTTGCTGGAGAGAGCTCTGGAGTCGGTTATGTGGCGATTCAGGTTGTTAGCCCGAGCTGATACTTTGGTTATTTAGTTTCGAATTGGATTGGATGCCGAGGTGCCTCGATTTCGAGGTGAGTTTTAGGCCGAGGTGGCTGAATACCCAAACTCAAATGTTGTGAACTAGGCTCACCAATGCTGAGCTGTCATCCCTTAATCAGGTCGCATCTACGTATCCCCTTCTCGCTAGGTCGGGCCAAATCACTCTTCATCACAACCCTTTCTGAATTTTGAGAATTGTGGGTAACTCCCTTTTTTACTGAAAATTAATCTACAACCTCTATAGGCTGCAATTCTCTATAACTGGTTCCTTCGTATATTAGGTGGTAGGCGCTGTAAGTTTAAACACGTTTACGTACCGTAAGGTGGCCCATGAGTGCAAAAGGTGCAATTTGGCCCTCACCAATCTCAGCAGGGAAGACCAATTGATGGTGGTCAATTGCTTAAATCTCTGACTCGTTGTAGCAAGACCTAGAATCAAAGTGGAGTTTAGGATCATAATAGCACTTAAATTTTTTTTATTAATGGGACTAACCGTGTAGTAGTTTCATACCCAATCAAACACCTCCTGAAGGCGGGATTTGACCCGAATTCCCGCCTTTGATGAAATTAATAAGAGTATGATTTAACTGAACACTTTGATTGTTTAGCGGGCTATGGAACTAATGATAAGGTTTTACACGATAATAAAATACATGGGCCTGCACCTTTTATAGTGGGACCCATGAATTTATTACTTATGTGGAATTTCATCATTGGTTCCACAGCCGGATGAACAACCAAAGCATTCAGTTAACCTGTAATGCGTTAATGGTCCTACTGTCACCCTAATCTCTTCGATGAGATCGCAAATCAAGCCCATGTTGGACTTCCATGTGGATGAATATGGAACTTACAGCTGACTAAGCTGAGGACCACCATTTGGCATAAGCATGAGCAAGCTGAGGAATTGTGATGTGGTGCACTTCAGTATGGCTGGAAGGTTAAGTTGGTGCATGCTGAAAGCCTGAAACCCCTGAACGAGGTGGGGACATATGGCAAATGCTGGACATTCCCATCTAACCACTAGAGTCAAAATCCAGATCTCCTACTCACAAGAACTCTATTCACGTCTATCCATATAACACTGCAGTCATAAATGGGAAATATCTTATTCTCCTACATAGTATTATGTACGGGAAAATGTTCTCAATGCACAGCATTAATGTATTGTGGGCAAGAGATCCGAAGTCCTAAAATCAATGCCAATACTTCCGAGTTCCTTGTCACTCTCTCCGTGGACTCTCAACAGCTCGGGAATTGGCCAATCCGGAGCTTAACATGCGTCCCACAAAGGAAGAGCACAATGGCATTCTTCGGCACTTGTATAAGGGCATCATGCTACCCAAGGTGAGACTCTTTATGTTACCAAGACTTTAGAACTCTCTACATCTTTTTGTTCTCTTGCTCTCTAAAGCTTTTCAGCTTAGCTTGGCTTAGCCAACCACCTTACTCTTTTACTAACATCAAAGTGCTCTTCCCCAACTTGAGGCCTTTAACTTCTATATGGTTAGGCTGTCAGACCAATTCATCTATACTTTATATACCTCAGCTTGGATAGCATAATTCATTCCTCTCTAATTAGACTCTGATTGATCCGTGCAATCATCAATTACATAGAAAAGTTCTATGATGTATGAGTGTCACTTTATACAATATTGTAGGTGGGGAAGATTAACCAAGTTCTGAACCTGTTTTAAGCATACCGTGACCAAAGTGTCATTGATTGGAAGGAGGAAAGGAGCATGGGCCAATCAAAACCACAAGTGTTTGTGTATCCATTGTTATGTAGAGTAAGTTCAAGATCCATTTAAATATGGACAGCTCACCATTAAGGGTATCAATTACATCAGATTTGGTCCAATCTGATCTGGTCCAATATGAATTCATTATAGATGGACCAGGTCTAATCTAATCTAATAAATATTCTGGACCACTTTGGATTAATCCAATTCAATGCCTGGACCATTCAATCTATTCAAATTAATTTTAATTTAGATTGGTTCCAATCCAAACTTGGTCTATTGATACCTGTGTTCTTACATTTTATCAATGGATCAGATATTGATTCAATCTAATATAAAAACATTAGGGATGGACCAAGTCCAACCCAATTTATTACGGATGGACCAGTTCGTTGACACCGCCCCTACCCACCATCAGAAGAATCCTCCCAAATACAAGGGAGAGAAAACTATTTACGAAACCAGGGGAACTAACTTTTGTTTGTTTTTAGCAACACCATAACGAGGGTGTCCTCAACTAGGTCTCACCTAAAAGATCACCTTGTCAACAATAATAATAATAAAAAAAAAAGCATTACGAGTTTTTTAGATTTTGAAAGATGTTTTATTGAATTTGTTCAAGGCTATGTTTGGTTTAAGGAAAAAGTAGGGAAATTCATTCAAGGTTTGTAAAAGTTTTCCTATCTTTCTCTTTCTTTCCCTATTTTTTAGATTTTGCTAGTTTCAATTGGTATTGTGATAGCTTCGGGCTTCGCTAGTTTCGCAGGCTGCCGCTGCCAGTAATCGGAGGAATAATTAATATGTAGTTCATTCGCTGGTTTTGCAAGCCGCCGCTACCGCAAGCCTCGTCCATTTGCTGGTTTCGCATGGTTTTAGGAAATAAAGAATGTGGCAAATGAGTTGCCGCTGTCAGTAATAGGAAGAACAAGGCTGCTGTCACTAAGAGCTGCAGCTGCAGTGAAAAGGGAGGAAGAAATAGGGACGGAAAAAGTGGCAGGAAGTCGGATGAGGGAGGAGAAATAGAAAATAAAAGAAAGAATAGAGGGAGAGAGGGAAAGAGAGAACGAGAGAACGAGAGATCGGAGAAGAGAGAGATCACCACCGCCACTCTAGTTCGAACGGCGAGGAGAATGAACAGTAGATTCCCTCCAATACTTCAGTCCTTCGGTCCCTCTTACACTTTCCCATCCCAATAAAACCAAATAATGTAAAATTAAATTTTTACACTTTCCCATCACATCCCATCCCATCCCATCTTTTTCCATTCCACCCAAATCTCCCCATAAACCAAACGGAACCTAAATGTCTTATTTGAACATCTACAGTTTGGAAAGCATTGACGCTGTATAATATTGTAATTTAATTTTTATGGCCTGGACGTAAAGCCAAGAGGCCCAAGACAAGTGTCGGCAAAGCAGCATGCTGAGTTCCCTTTCAAATTTTAATAAATACATTGGGAGTCTTAACTTTATAAACAATTAGTCTCCATACTGTTGCTACTTGCTACCATCACATGTTTCTGTCGTTGTCTGTGCTAATATATAAATTGTATACACAACTACAAACTGTATCTCTCACCAAACTCATTACGAGGAAAAAAATATCACAGAAACACTGAATTGATAGAAATGATAACATAGAATTAAAATGCCAAAGATCATATAGAGGTAACCGAAAAAAAAAAATTGCTAGGACATCTTTTCCATGCTGTCTAATACCTGCACAAACTGTACAATCCTTCTTGGCCAATGAATTCCAATAGCAGTACAGGACCAAGAGAACTCAACACAGTCATAACAAAACCAATGAAGCTAATAAATCCTTTCCTCTCGAAGTAGGCTGTAAAGTAGCATAGAATAATTTCTTTACACTGCACCAGGTAACAAATTCTGCAGTCGTATAAACTGGTCCCATTCAAGGGCTTGAGAGAGTAGTGTGAACTTTTTCTGTAAGATCAATAAATACGTTTAAATTTTTTACATAGAATTTGATTTCTTTTTTTTCTTTTAATTTTTGTTTACTCTCCTATCATTCTACATGGTCTTTGCACCGAAAAATTCAAAAACCATGATTCAAAGCTAAAAAAGAAAGTAAGAGGATCTTCATTTTAACCAATCAATAAGCAAGAAACTTGAAAATAAAAATTATTTTGATAAATGATTCTGACCTTATTGCAACTGTAAACTCCAAGTACAGACATGTAATTTACATAGATTTTTCTTCTACTCATTTATAACATTAGGAGGTAACATCTCATTGACATGGATTATATTCAGACCTGCCAAGTTTCAAGTCAGGCCTCATAAATTTGCAAAGAGTAAGTTTTCCCAGATGCTTCTCTAGCAACGTGATCTATTGATTTACAAGGCCATTCTCCTCACCATCTTTGACTCCATCAAAAATCTCATCGTCTTCAAATCCTGTTCAATATCCAAGTTAACTTAATTGCATGTGCATCTTTAATCAAGCTTACAAATTAAAGAACTGACATTACCTGCATCCAAGCCATAGGCCTCATCATTTGGGGAAGGTGCCAGCATAGCATTAGCTAAAGGCTGGTCAAGTGCCATCCAATCTGACCTCCCATTGTCCACCGTCATTTCTTCCTTCTCTGTGATCCAGTCTTCAACTGTGTCAATGTTGTCAAAGGAGATCGGATCCATAGCATCCAGCTCTTGATTCTTTCGAAGAATCCTGTACATAATGATAAAAGAATATTGCTTTTTCATTTCAAACGCGCATCACTAACTGTTCAGAATATGATTAGTAAACACCATAAGGTGCAACCATTTTTACTTACCTTTGACGCAACCGCAAGTTGTATTGAACAAAAACAAGGTTACTGAGCCTTTGATGCTCAAGACGGTTTCTTGTGATGTTATGAATTTGCTTGAAGGAAATCTGATTTTGCTTGAACCCAGCTGCACTGCAAGTTTGATTGAGAATACGAATGGCCAAACGTGCCAAATTTGGACAGCCCCCTCCATAAGTAGACCACCATTCAGCTAGAATGATCAAAATTTTGAAAGAATCAATTATGTGAGAATAAAATATAGAACATAATGATAAAAAAAAAGGTAATGCAATGCTTTAGAATGAGAGAAAATTGGATCTTAGTTCTCCCTCTTTCATGCATGTTGCAGTCAATAAAAGGAACAAGGCTGATGGGTGAGGAGAACTGCCAACAGCTTGGCAGATAGCTTAACCAAGCAAGGGGTACATAGAACACATGTTTTGGGCTCAAATGTAATATTGAATTGGGACAGCTTCTAAAGCTGGTTTCTTTCACAACTTCTTGTTGTAATCCTGTTTTCTTCTAATTAATGAAATCTTTTTTCTGTGTTGCTGATCAAAAATAAAAAGGGGGCCAAGGCCCAAAAACCTAGATATAATAGAACAAACATCAACCCCAGCAGCTGAGTCACTTGAGATCCCCCCCCCAATGTTTACAATAGTTTCCTATCCATTGAAATAATATATTGAATGTTAAATTTTTTGCTTGGGTTGCTACTGAAAATAAGTGCTTTTTGAAGGAAATGCATGAACTTGCCAGATAGCTTCTGAGTGCTATGCAGCAAGGAATCAGACACCCAACCATTTGTTCCTTCACTTTGAGTTTTCTTTCAGAATATGGTCTCACTTTTTTAAGGCTATATCTTACCAAAGCTGTATGCCTAGCTCAGTCAAATTCTCTTAAAAAGCTGGAAAGTTGGGAAAATGTGCAAGGGGAGGATCCTATAGTCAGCAGTACCTCTGGCTGTGTTGTGGGCTGCTATTTGGGGCAAATTAAACAGGAAGATTTTTGAGCAGAGACACTATCAAGAAGAAAAGCTGATGAAACTAATAGTTGATGATCTCAGAGGCTGGTTAAGTGTTAACATACTTTTCAAGGAGGATGTTTTAACTTCATCTTTTTTGACAGTTGACTTTTTGAGGGATCTTAAGGATGTTCATTTGTACAGTGAACTGAGATTCATGTATACCTAAATTTTTTATTAATACAAATTTACTTTACTGCTTCAAAAAAAGGAATACATTGAATGGTTAGAATCATTCGTCTGTGCAGATTTTTGTTGGAAGAAGACTCACCTAAATATACAGAATTAGAACATAGAAATAATTTGTAAAAATAGCAATACTACCACAAAAATGTTGTGAGAAATAGAAACAGAAAATGTCATCTTGATTAAATGGTTAAGCTAAATCAAGAGAAATATATCAAAAAATATGTTCCTTTATTACCAGAAACAAGTTTCTGAGTCAGTGAAAACCACCTCCCCCAACAAAAAAAGATAAAACAAAAAACAGAAATCCCATATCTATTGGGTATTGACTTTTAAGAGTAAAGAACAATACTGTTTCTGCCATTACACTGCAATATACAAACAGGCTAATATAAGTAAACCAACAAACTAAATTTAGAAAATGAATACAAGCAATAACAGTAAACACAACATCAAAAGTATAACTACATCTGACGAAAGAATCCGTACCAGGAAGCATGGTATTTCTGGCTCTAATTGCCATCTTCCTCCCAAAATCACCAACAGCATTCTTGTATGAGCTCAATTCCTTGGTGATTTTATCTTGGGTTTTTATCTCGGGTACTAATCTCTCAATACAATCCAACATCCCTGACATGATTTCATTATGCACATCTCCTTCAATGCTGTAGAAAAACTTGGGATTAAGGTAGAAACCTGCTGCCTGGAGAGGACGAGGAAGTTGTCGGTTCCATCTTTGATCTATAACATTCCAATAAACCAAGTAATCCTTCTTCTCAACCAGTTCTTTCTTGATTGCCTCTTTCACTCGGTACATGCCTTCATAAATGTAGCCCATCGCAGGCCTTTTCTCACTACCAACCATTCTTAGAACTCGCAAGAGTGGTTCTGTCAAGTTGACGATACTGCTGCAGGAAGACCAAAATGATTGACTGTAAATGACATCAATCATGACAAGCCCTTCTGGCTTTTTAGAATATGGACAGTCCATCCATTCCTGTGAAGTAACCATGTCCTGCAAATTACTTTTAAGACTGACCATATTTTTCAAGATTGTAAAGTCTGTTGCAGAGCGGGTGACTGCTGGTTGTATTAAATCTTTCCCATATGTATATTTTCTCATCATATTCAAAACTTCAACATGATTATAAATAAATCTTGTCATTGATTTAGCATGACCCAGTACTGCATTTATCCACTCAAATTTTCCAATATCCTCAAGCATCAAATTTATACAATGAGCTGCACAAGGTGTCCAATACATAGTAGGAAATGTCTCAGTTAACCTTTTCCCAGCAATGGCATAGTACTCTGTACTATCTGTAATAACTTGCAGTACATTTTGAACCCCAACTTCTTCCACCACTTCCTTAAGCAATTCATACAGAGCATCTGGTGATCTAACTATATCTGATGCATCAACAAATTTCAGAAACACAGTCCCTTCGGGGCAATAAACCATGAGGTGTATCAAAACTCTACCCGTCTCTGTTGTCCATTCATCAGCCAGTATAGAACATCCAGTCTTTGCCCACGTCCCCTTGTATTGGTCCACTAAACTCTTGACTTCTTCAACTGACTTCTTCAAAATCCAGCCTCGAATGTCATGATAAGATGGTGCTCTTAGCCCTGGTCCTTCTGATACAATAGCATCAATCATTGGTTGGAAATAGACAGAGTTGACTGCATCCAAAGGTGCTCCAACATCATAAAGAAACCGACCTATTGCCATATGCACATGATCCTTTCCCCTTGGTAACCCTAAGGTAAGGTTGCTAATGGGATGAGTATTAGAAGTCATAAGAGGAGAAGGATTCCCCGTTCTCCCTATCATCCTATCTGAAGTCGTTCCTTCTTCCTCCTTTGCTAATAAGCTCAATGGTTCACCCGTATCAGGGGTTGAGAGCAATTGAAGTCCAGTGATTGCTTCATCGTGAGTAGCCACTGTTTCCAACTCACCAGGGCCCAGGAGACGTTGACCGTCTTCTGTTCTCTTTTGTTTTCTCCTCGATTTTACAATAGACCCTTCTAGGCTCTGTCGCATGATACGCCGAACATCTGGATGGACTCTAGGGCAAGTAGGCCCATTTCCCTTCTGACCAGCTAAGTGTTCTTTAATTCTATGTATCCCCCCACCCGAAAACATCTTGCCACAATAGATACATTTGAGTCGGGTTCGATTTTCAAACTTAAACATTTGACAGTGCTTCCATGCTACATCGCGTTTTAACGCACCAACAGGTACAGGTTCTAGCTCAGATTCCATTTCCAACTAATGATTGATTCCTAGAAGCAGTAGTAGCGACCTAAGTGGAAGAGCAATGTAGCAACTAGTCCATAAGACAACAAGCACTTCCCCTCTTCAAAATAAATAAAAATAAAATTAATTAATTCACAGGAAACTTAAACATCGATGTTCGTTGTGAATAACATAATAATCAGTACATGGCATTCCCTGCAACATGACATTTCACAATCCAACTACCAGAGAAAGAAAATATATAGCAAGAAGATTTCATATGTTACTTACCTCTGATCTTGTATTTCTGTCTTTTCACCTCCGACGATGGCCGAAACAGAGAGAAAGAGCGAGAGAGCGAGAGAGATAGAGAGAGAGAGAGGGGAAGGGGGAAGAGAGAGAGAGAGAGGCTCTTATTTTATATTCAAAGGGGGAAAAATAGAACGACAGGCTGGTTCATTGTTTATAAACCATCGGAGAAAGTGGACGTTTAACCGGACGAACCAGTTAGATCTGTGGGCAACGGGTTTCTATTTTACCTCCGACCAGATCGGGTTTACCGGATGAGCCGGTATCTACTAGTCAAACGCTCCTCTTGGACCGGTTCTAAGGAGGTGGAACGGACATCCGGTGGCCGTGGTAGAGCCGACGATGGTTCGGATTCCGGTTAGACCGCCCGGTGAACGGCGTTTTCGGGGATAAACCAGTGTCATACTGGAGCTTTTTGACAGGTATGCTCTTCCTTTGGTTGGTTATTTCTGAGAACTAGCGAACAGCAGCTCGAATTTCTTTTGCTGCTTTGATCGTCCAGATCTGGTCGACCGGCGAAGCGCCTGCCTGAGTGATGGACAGATCTGCACCTTCCCGAGTTTCAGGTACCGTTAGAACCCTGTTTTATTCATCAATTTGGTGTTTAAGTAAGAGAATTCTATATGGTGGTCCAAAACTCCAACCTGTTTCCACCATTGTATAATGCTTCCATTTAGCTTCTTCAATCTCCATGATCTCTGAAACTGGATGATTTTTTTCTTTTCTTTTCATGAATCGGTTCTTCATGAGTATTATGGTAGGCTTAGGGTTAGGATTAGGTCTTTGATGAGAATATCAATTACGAGACCCTCATTTGTTGATCCCGAGCTTTTTGATTTCACTGGAGATTACCCTTCCTTTCTTTCTTCTGAATTGAATGATATAGACCCAGTCCATTTATCTGATTCCTGGGAAAGAAAATACCACATAAACGTTTGATCAGCAGGAAGAAATTTGTGTTAAACTCGAAGAAATACTAGCCTTCGAGGTGATTAGAATGAATAAGAAATCTCCTTTACATCAGCTACTACGTTGCGCTTCCAAAATATCAACCACCAAACCTGTCAAATAAATAAACATCCTTCATGAGACATGAACTGCAAAATCAAAACAAACTACAATCACTCACTAGATAAATAGGCCTACCACATTACTGGTAATGCTGTATAATCTTGGAATATTTCAGTTTACAATTACCATAAGTAGAATAGAAAAACGAATTAAATCATGCTGAATTTGTAGCTAAACAACTTAAGAATGCATCAAACTGAGGCAAGAGAAGCTTTGTAGTGAGAAAAAGGGGTTATGTAGCAGACTTTATATCTTTCTTCTGTAAGGACCAAACTGCAAACTAACAGAGGACGAAGAATGGTGATGCTGAGAGAAACTTGAAAAAAAGTAGGATTCCCAACCCCACCTTGAAATATAGTCACCAAAAAAAAGAAAAGAAAAACATCTTGGGGTTGATATTTCTCTCTTATAATGGTACTGCTGTTCTTATCCCTTTTATGAAGTCCAAGGCTTTTATGCAGAAGGCATAAAAGCTATCCTGGGATTTCTGTCCAAACATCTTGTCCTCTCAAGCTATAGGATCCCAAGGCTGGCAAATGCTTTGTCAGAAATGTAAGCAAAATCTGGATTGAATTGTATTAATTTTTTTTCCTCTGGTTTAATAGATTATGTTATTATTTTGTTGTGCTGGAGAATCTATTCCAATATATTGTGTTTCCTTTCTCCATTTCTTCGGGCATGCTGTTCTTCTTGTACTCTTTTGTTCTTCTGCTAGTGTCAATGTCTACAGTTATCCATGAAGGGTCTGCTTACATGGGAAAAAAATTGACACACAATTGATTGCTTCTGTATAAAATACCATTTTCAAATGTTTGGTTTGTGCACAAAGGTAGACAGAGAAGAAAATGTTCATGGAAAATGCCCTTTATAAAATACAATGATTTCTTGTTTTAAGTAACTCATTTTCTATTAAGATAGTCAAGTATTTCAAATTACACTCCAAGATATCTACTGTGACTCAGTTATTCAACGAATCTACTTCTCTTCCTTCATCCCCCCCCCCATTCTCTCTCTGTCTCTTGTCTGCAACTACTGTGAGGATCTCCACAGACTGCTGTCTCAGCTTGAACTACAAAAACTTCAGTGGTTGTTCATTTCTACCATGTCTAAGAAGATTTTCCATTGTTCCCCAACAAGAGTGGTTCCTTGGATGTTCTAAATTATGTAATTCAATCCATCTGAAAACCCTGTTTGTTTTTGTTACTTCATCATATTCTCTTTGATTTTGTACACCAAATTCAGATCTTGACCTGGACTGTTGAAGTAACTTGGATTTTAGTTTGTTTGATTTCATATAATACCTTCTTTGAAAAAAAAGTATTTTTTCTTGATTTGCATAATACTTATCACTTCGCTCTTTTATTATTTTGTTTTGTCTAGGAGAGATTAGGGTTTTACATGGTCAGATCATGAGAATACCTGAAGATCAAATTTCAATTTTAGAAATATTCTTGTTTACCATTTTTCTATATGTTTATGTGAATGTGAAGTTCCAAATAATAATATTGTCAAGACACTTATATTGCAAAGAGTTTAATAATATTATTGTTGAGAAAGATCAAGTTCTTGTGTTTTCAGGCAAAAAGCATAGCTAATATCTATAAGCCCAAACCTGTGTTTTTAGTATTCTTCTTCTGGCTTATCTTGTGATTCCACATAAACAAATCATCAGTTAACTGCGTATGCCTACTTCTCAAGAGATACACAATTTCATTGTACTATAAAGAGAATATCTTATCACTTAAATTGGTCAACATAGACCATTTGTCGGTTGTTGTGTGCTCAAGAACTAAATCATGAGTTTAGAGCTCAGTGCTTGTAGCTATAGGTATTTAGCAGACAGGCATCTCACATTAAAAGCTTTTCCAATCCTTTATTTAGCTTCTAAAGTAAATAATATTTGATCTTAAGACCTTATTTCGAATAACCACTCTGATCATGCTTAGAATTATCCAGTTTGGCTAGATGCATTTAATATTCAGATTGTATATTGATTAAGCTTTTGGAGTCAAAAGTGATTTCATGGGCATATCAGCCTCTATTGGAATGAATCGTCATTATGTTTTCATTTGTGTTGTTATCATTTGGTCATTCTGCTTGGAAACAGCCTCTCTGTATACATGCAGGGGTAAGACTATATACATCTGTCCCTCCCCAGACCCTGCATTGGCAGGAGCCGCATGCACTGGGATGCCCTTTTAAGTTATCATTTGGTCATTCTAATTCCTGATCTGAATCTTTTCTTTTATATATAGATATTCCTGATCTGATCTGCTTTCACCAAGATGACCAGTCCTATGGTTTACTTTAACATGATCCTAACAAACTGAAAAACTAAATAAAATAAAACAAAACAAGTATTTTGAAGGTTCAATTGCTGCCATGACATGAGAGTACTAATAGACGGTGGGCCTTGCCACAATGGTTGGGTTGTTCCATTGCGACCTGGTGACCAGGGTTCAAACCTTGGGAACAGCCTCTCTGTGTATCTGCAGGGGTAAGGCTGCATCTGCCCCCTCCAGACCTGCATTGGCAGGAGCCTTGTGCACTGGGCTGCCCTTTTTTTAAATGAGAGTGTGAATAATATTTGTGACCTTTTACCATCTTCCACATGACAAATTCCTACCACATCATAATCTAGTTCCCATAAACCTTTCTTCTTTTCAGTGTTCTCCATAGTCCATAGTTGATTTACGCTATGTTTGGTTTGAAGGAAAAAGTAGGGAAAGGAAGGGAAGGAAACCTTTACAAAGCCTGTATAGGTTTCCTTACCTTTCCCTTCCTTTCCCTACTTTTTCCTTCAAACCAAACACTGTGTTAGTGAATCCATGTTTTAGATGTGTTCCACTATGTCTTACCGCCAATCATTTCTTTGAAAAGCAATATGTCTTACACATATTGCCTCCTTTCCATCTTCCTCTATAAGATTTTTTTTTTTCTGGTAGCATCTCAAAACAGAAGCCATTGGAGATAAAGCTTGTACACTTTTCCCAACATTAGGGATTTGATCATTGATGACAACATATTTATGTAATGGATCTTTATATGATTCAATCCAATTAGGCCACTGTAATATAAAATATTAGGGTATCTTATTATTAAAGCCTTACTTCTATAAACCAAAAAGGAAATGGCTTGAAGTAGTAGAAATGATTTTAAGAGTCCATAATTCACACCAGATATGACACTGACAGAGCAGAATGGTGGAACAGGATTCATGTAGCCAACCCTATATAGCTGGAACAAGGCTTAGTTGAATTGTCTAATTAATCAATTGTATATTTTTGTGAGTATACACATGCACTGTCAACTTGGAACCTCTGTATATTTTTGCCTATTTTTGACCTGGAATTTCAACTCAGATGGAGTTATTAGCAGGTGGTTTAGGCTATAGTGGTGCTAATGATGACCTGAGGCATGGCCATTCTTCATCAATGCAGGCATACTAAAATTGGACATAGAACATTCATATTGCCAACTTATGGTGATTTAAACACCTCACCAAATGAAACTGAGCTTAAAAGATGAGGATCCTACTTCAGTTACCATCATTCCACCTCTGTCAATACCATAGTCAGAAACATATCTTGCCTTGCAATCCTTGACTAATTTTCATTTCTGGGATTTTATGACCTTAATTATATTCACCACCACTACTCACATATTTAGTATTGAATTTTTCATTTATCTTGCATATTTCAGTTTTGTTTTCCAAAAAAAAATTGTCAGCTTTTTGAAAACCGGTACATTAAACTGTGTTTGTTTGTGGTGTAAATACCGGACCTGTGTTATATTACACTCCGGTCCAGTTTTGTAGCCATTTGGATGGAGTGTAATCAAACACCAAAAATTGATGTAAAACTCCATGCACATCGAGTTTTACATCGACAATCGAGAGGAACTTTAACTTCGATAAAAACGATGTAAAACTTTAATTTCAATTTATTTTCATTAATAGGTAGAAAGGTATTGTGTTTCTGACTTTCTTCATGCACAAGCAGTGTTTTAAAAGGCGTGGGGCGTACACCTAGAGGCGCGCCTCCAGGCGAGGCGCTCCCAAAACGCTCTAAGGCGTATGCCAGAGGCACTGACACCTCTGAGGCATACGCCTCAGGTGCAAGAGGCGTACACCTCTTGTGCTTTTTTCATGAGGTGTGCTAGAGGCGTACGCCTCATGCACCTCATGCACATCTGATATAATAAGACAGAAAAAAAGAAAGAAAAAGAAAGGGAAGGGAAAGAAAAAGAAAGAGAAAAGGAAAGGAAAGGGAAGGGAAGAAGAGATAAGGGGAAAGAAAGTGGTTTGCCCCTTGCCCCTTCAGCTGGGGGGCAAAGCCCCCCAGACCCCCCGCCCCCTTTTTGATGCAACCCAATTTGTTTTTTTGAGTTAGGGGGGTCTCGCTCCGCTTCAACACGACCCCCCCCCCCCTTTGAACTAATGTTATGCAGCTTTGTTCTTCTTATTATAAAAGAATTTTATTAAAAATAAAGAAAAAATGAGATCCCCCCCCTTCCTCTTCATCATCCTCCCCCCTTCTCTTAAGGAGGCTTATACCTCCTTGTGTTCGGGAGGCTTACGCCTCTTGCGTTCTGAACTACACCTCACGCCTCTAGGTAGTGGAACGCCTTGCGTCTTTCTGTCTTTTGATAGTTTATTCCAGCCCTACTGCATCAATTTGTTGTAAGCATTTTGGGGTAGATTGTTTTCATGGATAGGAAAATACAGGGATAGTCCATATGGCACTTGTTTTGGTTTTAGCTCACTTTTTGTTACTATGCTTACAGGATAGACAATGTACGAAAAGGTCTTGAGTTCTGCACGGTGCCTTGTTGTGCAGGGATTTGTAATGCAATACTTTACCAAAACATTTATCTTATGCTAAAGCCTTTTCCACATCAGTCACCTTTTTTGTAGTGAATTCTGTTAAACATGGACTCATGATCATGACATTCTGTATAACAGAGCTTCACAATGTTATGATCATTACTAGACCTGGCAATTGGGTTGGGTGGGTCGGGTTCGGGTTGGGTCAAGACATTTCGGGTTGAATTTCGGGTTGGGTTATCGAATGCTAGACCCTAACCCTAAATGTTCGGGTTAGGGTTGACCCATGGGTCAATTCGGGTCATCCCCCAAAAAAAACTGAAATTTAAAAAAAAATAAAGAAAAAACTGCATGAAAATGCCAAAATTAAAGAAAACCTTAAGTTTCCAAATATAAAATTAAAAAACTTGAACATTTAACAATTTAAAGAGTAAACAATAAAGAGTAAAGACTAAATAGAAAAAATTAAAGAGTGGAAACTTCTAACAATGCATAAATAGTTCCAATTAGACTTGACAATCAGGTCAGCGGGTTGACCCATGACCCAACCCAGCCCAGTTTTTCCGGGTCGGGTCGGGTCATTCTCACATTCAGGTAGCTAAGTATGAGACCCTAACCCTGTTTTTTCGGGTTGGGTTGGGTCGGGTTCGCGGATTAGGTCAACTTTTTGCTAGGTCTAATCATAATGGATGATGAGAGAGGATAACTTGCAAGTAGACCTGTTCATGGGCCGGGCCGGGCCGGGCTTTTACTCATCATTAATGGAAATACGCTAGGCCCGAGCCCGAGCCCGAAGCCCGACCTAATAAAAAAAATTACAATTTTCCCTATTCAAATTAGAATTAAAAATTCATATGGTTTTTTTTTTCCTATTTAAATGAACAATGGGCCTACAAGATGGTTTTTTTCCCTTTCTTTTACGTTTTAAAACACAGCTTTACATTCTTAAATCAAAAAATTTATTCAAATGGACATAATCACATAACTCATTTTAAGTCTGATTTTAGGTCGGGTCGGGCCAGGCTATTTTGACAAAACCCGAGCCCGTTCGAATTTATTGCGGACCGGGCTTTTTGGCCCGAGTTTAAGACCGCAGGCCTATAAACATGTTCAAGCCCGTCCATGGGCCGGGCCGGCCCGTCGGGCCACCCGGCCCATGAACAGGTCTACTTGCAAGCACCTCCTTCTAGGGCTATCAACGGACTCTGAAAGTTCGAATTCCAATCCAAGTATCCTAGATTCAGATGGTATGTTTACATAATCAAATTGAATGCAGATTTAACTCTATCCAAAACCGGTTATATTAAAACATATGTATATATATATATATCAATTTTAAAATATAAAATTTGCATAATTATATATAAACTATAAAAATATAATTCTATATATTATATTATATAAATATATATAATAAATTCAATATTTCATATTTATATTAATTTATTATATACAAGTTAAAAAGTAATTTATTTTTTCTTTTTTCTTTTTTTATCAGCTTCTTTATTTTTAAAAATGAAATGGAGTCAGATTAAATCCAAATCCAATCCAAGTCTGATGGGATTTGAATCTGATTCGAGATCTTCAAATCTGATCAGATTTTGGATCAGATTCAGATTTCAATTTTCATAAACTTGCTGAATCTGATCCGTTTACAGCCCTGTCATGGTACCTCACCTAAGATTTATATCACGACTTGATGGGTAATTTGATATGCCAGTGATTCTTTTTCCATGTCTAATAACATGGTTAACCAACTTGTTAACTAATTTATAACAATATTTGGCCATGGAACTAGTGATAATGTATTGCAGGCTTTGATCCTTTCCTTTTTGAGAATACACACACACACATGTATCATCATCATCATCATCATCATTTGTTCCAACCATATGGGTCAGGTACATGAATCCTGCTTTGCCATTCTGTTCTACTCAGTGCCATATCCATCATTAAATGATGGTTGCTTAAATCATTACTTGTTACTTCCACCCAAGTCCTTATTGGTGTGCCCCTATCTCTTCTAGCCCTTCCTACTTGTAGCAGACCACTTTTTCTAATAGGTTCTGTAGATGGTCTTCTACATATCCATACACACACAAAATTCTTCTTTTTCCAAAGTAGGGTATTGTTAGCTTTGAATTATGGATGGTTGGTTTTAGGTTTTCTTCTATTTGAAAAATGGATTAAATTCCCCCATTGTCTTCAATGTGATATTGAGGATAAGTATTATTATTCTTTTCCATGGACCTGAATTTATGTTGGCAACACATGGTTCCATGGACATTAGAGTGATATTCTTTCAACCCACCTTGCTACATCTGACAACAAGTAGCACTTAAGATCTAGAAATGAAGATGCCAAGTTTGACTACTGAAAATGATATGGTACCTAAAAAATTGATAATCGTCAACTTTGTGTTCACTCAAATTCATGTCAGTGATGAAGTCTTTTAGATACCCAACTTTTTTGGTTCCAGAGAAACTGCCCAGTATAATCTAGACTTACTCTTACAGTAAATCAAATTAGAACCATTTAGATGGACTATAGAATGGTGTCCATCCTTGCTCTGAATTGAATGGCATGAACTTCATGAGATTTGGCAGTCTGACAATACAATTCCTGGGAAATGCAGTTTGTAATTGGGTCATATGATTTTATCTGCAAAGTTACCAGGTCAGAGTGGTTTCATGGCATGTATAGTGGCTTCTTAAATGCTAATTCCAGGCATCTGCAGATGCCTATCTATTGCCACTTAACACATAATTCGGAGGTGCATCAAAATGGTCAATTAAACTGTAGTATTTCTCATGTGACTTAGTTCATTAATGGTTGCCCTTCCATTATTTATTTTTTCAGGGCTTTAAGAGCATTGACTACAGAATCAAATACATCTCACATTGAATTTTGGCAGTTCAGGCTTCTGCAAGAATTCAAAGTGATACCTGTTACATTAGTTATTACCAGTATAGACGCTTCATTCAATAGTACCAGTATCATCACTTTTGAAACTTTCCCACTTTCATGATAAATTTGTTCATGGCTTCCATACAAGACTCTAGCTCAACTGTGAGAGCACTTGGGAAATGGAGTTGGACTCCATACATTCTCAAGTTTGTCTCTTTTTCATTTACTTGATGTGGGTTTCAATACATTTTCTTAATGACTCAATCTTATAAACTTCAATTAAATGGATAGTGACTATAATTTATTTGGTAACAATCCACTCCAGTGATAGGGGGTGTGGTTTTCCTTCCATTTGCATCCTTTTTTGTTTGGTTAGATCAACCGGATGCCAACTTCCAAGGTAGGTCAGCTACTCGTTGATCATCTTTGGTTGTGGCAGAGAACATCCCTGTTTGTAAATCACCTGGCCAAAAAAAATCAAATTATCTTGCTTTATAAATTTATTTATGTATTTTACTCTTTCTGGTTATAAGGTCTGGTCTGAATTTATCAAGTCAGTTTGTTTGGACTCAAGTCCTTCCTGAATCCTGATTTATGTTTTTACTGATAAAAGAATCCTGATTTTATTTGGTTAGGCTTGACCAATATTCATCTGAACAAAGTTCCTTTGATGAGACAAAAAGTCTTGGACCTTCCTTTTATCCAGAATTGAAACATCACCACGACTGGAAGCCGGTGAAGAAACATCATCCTCAGTTGTTCACCAAAGCAAGAAGAGTAATGGTAGGCAGCAGGGTTTTATTCAACGAAGATGTCAAATCACGAAGACGTTAAACATAAACACAGAGAATTTTGTTCAAATCCAGGGGGGTGTTAAGGAAGGCGGTGGCGGTGCTATGCCTCGTCCTTTTGGGATTTAAGAGGCCCATCATGGCCCGCATTGTGATGCTAACTTTCTACGGTTGTACCTGCTTGCAAGGTTCAAGGTAACGATAAGATACATCGAATTGGTTTTCATGGTCAGTTTGGCGGCATATAATGGGAGTTGGGAGATTTGAATTTGGGAGTTATAGCTGATAATGACAACTTTTGAGTCCTAATATTAATAAAAATAAGGACAAAAATACTGTTCATTTTCCTCTTCCAAACACTGTTCATCTTTTTATAACACCGCCGAAAAGACTGTTATGGCTTACTACTAGGAGGCCAAGAGGATCCGAGGTAACAAAACGAAGCTCAATTTCTCTGAAATGAAGTTTGTATTGGTTCCATCACCACAACCACTACCAGCCAAGAGACGATGTTGCTTCTTCCCCAACTCAGTCCAGAAGAGTTTTTCGGTCACAGTAGGGCAATTGGATATTGCCACGGGTACGTTCTTTCCTTTCAAAGAGGAAATATTCTACAATTAACACAGAAGTAGTGAAGTCGAACTGAAAGAGCAGATCTTTAATTTGGAATCGTTCCTGAAGCTTGAGCCTGAAGCAGTGGAGCCAGTGGGGAGTGTGGAACCAAAGGTGGGGAGATTTGTCCGATGGTTTGAAGGAGGAAGGAGATGAACAGTGTTTCTACCTTTTTTGATATTTTTTTAAAAGGTTACTCTATTGTAGAAATTATGTTAAAAAGATTATTTTTACTGATAATAAGACCCAAAAGTTGCTCTTATCAACTGTAATCCCTATGCAATGCTTATGTATGAAAGAGTTGTTTCACCAAATTATTATTTTTAATTATTTTTATCTTTTTTACCTTTTGATTTGATATTTTGATTGGGTCTTATATGTATCGATGTTTTGAACTTGAACCTTGGTTGCAATGGAACAGTGCTATCACCATAAACGCAATCCATGATGGAGATTTTGAATTACAGCTTCACAAAAGAACAAAGCATAACAAAGAATTTTGATTAGAAAACATATAATAAAAAACCTGTTTGCAGATAGAAGCAACAATTAAGTAGGCTTTCCTACAGGACCTCTCTTATTATTTCTGCCATGGATGTATGTAGCCAATCCAAATCATCAAAGCTTAGTAGAGAGCCCTTTAAATTGGCCACATTTGGAGGGTGTTTGGTAATTGATAATAGTGTTGCACAAGTGTTGTCTTTGTACATGATTCAGCTTTCAATTGTTCCAACTTCCAATGCCATCCTTCTACTGCCGCTATTTCAACTCTGATTGCAGCTTCTCATGTTAACACTCGGGATCTGCTGTTCACACTGTTATGTATCGTGGGTTGGCGGTGCGGCAATTTGGTTCAAGTGTAGCCCATCCATGCCAGACTGGTGGTGCCTGGTGCGGCAATGGATAGGTTATCTTTGAAACGAAATGATCCCTACAGTTTTGAGTTTTCACAAGTCACAACTGTTCTGTTCTGTTTGTTTTTCTATGCAATTTGGTTCAACAACAAAAGCAGGTACATTTCAATTCAACCCTGCTTCATAATAAAGACTTCGGTTAAAACTTAAACATGTTACAACCAATATATAAATCAGTAACAGCTATCACGTGGAGAGTCGTCTGCCGCACTTGAATCATGTGAACTAAGCAGTCAGTCCGTGGGCATAGAAAGAACCTTTATATAACTTGCCACGTGGCAAATATTGAGAAGCTCATGACCCACAGAGGGCAAATACAAAAAATAAAAATAAAAATGATAAGATCTCAAGTTTTCAAAGAGTTTAAAGTGAACTTTGACCACCGTCCGTATATTTGCTTCAGAAACACATTTTGGATAATAATTCAAGCTGATTTTTTTACTCAAGTTGGGAGGGGCCCATTGAATGTCAAGTCCTGATAATCCTAATCTAGGACAGCAGCCAAATATGTGTGGGACCCTCATACCGGTGGTTAACGGTTAGAGGTCCTGTCCTGTGCCCCAAGACCCAAGCGTTTTTGCCAACATTATGATCCAAAAAAAAGGCTTTTTTAACTACATCAAAAGTACAGCTACTTAGATTTATATGGGATGATGTTAATACACTCACTCTACTAGTTGGATTTCAGATGAAAAAAATAAAACAAAATAGAATGGCCTCCAATTCACCAATATTGGAGAAAACCTATCAAATTAATAGAACAGAAGGAAAGAACCAGTTTCTATAGTCTACACCTTCCTAACCCCTCCCCCCACCCCCCTCTCCAAATAAAATGAAATAATAAAAAGTAGATCATGCTGTTTACACACAGATTTGTATAATCTTGTTTAGACCAATTAGTAGTCCTCACCATTTTACAGCAATTTAGGTTACCAAGGTTAAAACTATGAATCATGAACCTCTAAGTATACACTATTACTTCACCATGCTTTGCCCTACCTAGTTGTCATGTGAGAGGGTAGGTAAGATCTAAGATGTCATCAACCCTCCCAGACTACAACAGCAAGCCTTGCAAATTAAGATATATTCTATCATGTCTGCCCCTCCAAATTCCCATCACTGTAGCCTTCCTGCTGACATTGAATTTGAACATCCTCCTCCTCAACATCATCATCATTGACTCCATCATATATCTCATCATCTCCATACCCTGTTCATTGTCAAAATAACTTATTTTTTATAAGATTGTCGAAATTGCTTAATTATCTGAGTGTAAATATCCTCATTCAACTTACTAAATAGAGGAAATGGCATTACCTTCAACCATGCCTTCATCCTCATTGTTTGGAGATAATGACTGCATAACATTAGCTACAGGCTGGACAAGTGATGTCCAATCTGAATTCACATATTCTCCTAAGAGTATTTCCTTCTCTGCAACCCAGTCTTCAACAACATCAATGTTGTCAATGGAGATAGGGTCCATTGCATCTGCTTCTTTATTCCTACGAAGTTGCCTGGTAAGTCAGAAGATGATATTAGTTTCTTTCCCTTTCCAATTCCCTTTATTTTCCTAACTCGAGGTCCAGTTGGTTTACTTACATTTGCTTGAATCGCAAGTTGTACTGAACAAAAAGAAGGTCATTGAACCTTTGGTGCTCAAGGCTGTTTCTTGTTCTGTTTATTTGCTTGAAAGAACTCTGATTTCGATTGATTCCGAATGCACTGCAAGTTTGACTGAGGATACGGATGGCTAACCGTGACAAGTTTGGACAACCTCCACCGTAAGTAGACCACCACTCAACTAAGAAGAATAAGATCATGCAGAAATCAGTTGAATGTTTTGAACGTATGAAACAATAACAAAACCACACAGAAAATCTTTGCATTGGTAGAGAACAGGAAGTAATTGATCCTTCATCTGTCAGATGACACTTTCAAGGGGGCTTCCCCAACCCCCAGTGCAGGTCCAAATGCACAGAAAGCAACCATAGAAGATATATTATGGACTGTTAACCAAAACTTATGAACTTTCAAACGGAATACTTTGGACAATTAGAATCATTTGATTGTATTGACTTTCACCTTCAAAGATCTTGAGGTGGTGATACCCATCAAATGGTGAGCCTCAACCCCCTCCTAAAACCCAACTCTGGCATGGGATAAGAGGCAATGTAAACAACCTCTTACCATCATTCCATGGTGATGTCAGCATAAGTTGACTCTCTAATAACTAATAATAATTGTAGAAAGAAATTCTATTAGTTATCAGAGATTTTTATTTCAAAGTAAATGCTACAAGAAATCCATTGTGTAGCTTCTGTGTGCATGCATCATACCATCCTTTATAAGTAAATGCTTCAACTCATTTTTTTCTTCACAGATGTATCTTCATTCACAATTATAAGAAAATAGTAGGACTGTAGGAAAGCAAAACAAGATGGTTGTCCAACTCATGGATCTTGGAAATAGAAAATACTTTTGTTCCTTTTCTTTTATTCAAATAGGGATGATAAAATACACAGGATAGGTGGATTGTCCCTTGAACCTTTTTTTTTATTATCTTGTGATGTCAATTTTTAAGAAAATAAAGGCTAATATGGCATTTATTTTAAAGAATAATTAAAACGATGTTCCTTAAGGAACTTATTTTTACATACTTTAGTAGTTCACTTGTCTTATATTGAGCTAATATTATTTATATATATGAGGAAATATTGTATATAATAATATATAATACATTTTAATATCTAATAGTACACAAAATTCCTAAAAATTATTTAGTAGATATTAGAGAATATTAGTAGTAAAATATGGAACCAAGTTGGTTCCTCAAGATTTTATTAAGTTATAGTAAAATAGGGGCTTACTATACTTATATGTCATTAAAACAAAAGAACAAATAATTACAAGAAACAGAAAATTTTAAAAGAAAATAGTAAAGACAACTTACATCAACAGAAAGGATCTTACCAGGAGGCAAAGTATTTCTAGCTCTAATTGACATCTTCCGCCCAAAATCCCCTGCAGCATTCTTGTATGAGCTCAGCTCTTTGGTGATTTTATCTTGGGTTTTTATCTCAGGTACTAATCTCTCTATGCAATCCAACATCCCTGACATGATCTCATTATGCACATCTCCTTCAATACCATAAAAGAAACTAGGATTTAGGTAGAAACCTGCTGCATGAAGAGGACGACTTAGTTGTTGATTCCATCTTTGGTCTATAACATTCCAGTAGACCACATAATCCTTCTTCTTGACCAGTTCTTTCTTGATCACTTGTTTTGCTCGGTACATGGCCTCATAAATGTATCCCATTGCAGGCCTCTTCTCACTAGTTACCATTCTCAACACTCTCAAGAGTGGATCTGTCAGACGAATGATAGAAATGCATGAATTCCAGAAAGACTCGCTACAAATGACATCAATCATGACAAGGCCATCTGATGTCTTTGAGTGTGGGCAATCCATCCATTCCTGTGAAGTAACCATTGTCTGCAAATTATTTTTAAGACTAACCATGCTCTGTAATGTAGTAAAGTTCGTTGCAGAGCGAGTGATTGCTGGTTGTACCAAATCCTTCCCATACGTGTACCTTCTCATCATATTCAAAACCACAGGATGATTGTAGATAAATCTTGTTATTGACTTAGAATGCTCAAATGTTGTATTAATCCACTCAAACTCTGAAATATCCTTGAGCATCAAATCTACACAACGAGCTGAACAAGGAGTCCAATACATCGTAGGGTATGTTTCAGTTAGCTTCTTCCCAGCAACAACATAATGCTCTGAACTATCAGTAATCACTTGTAATACATTCTGAACTCCAACTTCTTCCACAACTTCCTTAAGCAGTTCATACAAAGCATCTGTTGAACTCAGTATGTCTGATGCATCAACAGATTTCAGAAACATAAGTCCTTCAGGACAATAAACAAAAAAGTTTATAACGCTTCTACCTGATTCTGTCATCAATTCATCAGCCAGGACAGAACATCCGGTCCTTACCCATGACCCCTTATATTGATCCACTATACTCTTGACCTCTTCAACCGAATTCTTCAAAATCCATCCCCGAAGATCATGATAGGATGGAGGTTTGAGCCCTTGTCCTTCAGACAAGATTGCTTCAATCATTGGTTGGAAATAGACAGAGTTGACTGCATCTAGAGGTGCCCCAATATCATATAGAAACCGACCTATAGCCAAATTCACATGTTCCTTCCCCTTTCCTGGTCCTATGGTAAGGTTACTACCAATTGGAGGTGCATCAGGAAGTACAGGTGGAGGAGAAAAGTTCTCCATACGCCCTCTCTTCCTCTTATCTGTACTTCTGTCAGTCACCTGACCCATTTCTTCCTCCCTATTTGCTAACAAACCCGAATTCTGTTCTACTGTATCTGGGGCCGGGGCTGTTATCAATTGGAAACCAGAAGTTGCTTCCCCAGGAGTGGCAAATGTATCTAACTCGTTAGGTGGTGCCGGGGTAGTAGTGCCCTCAAGAAGAAGAGGAGATGGGCTAGCATCCGTCTTCTCTTCTGCTATCTTTAGTTTCTTCTTCCTTTTCAGCACGCCCCCATCTAAGCTTTGCTGCATAAGCTGCCGGACCTCAGGTTGCACATTAAGGCAGGTTGCCGCATTGCCCTTCTGACCAGCCAAGTGTTCTTTAATCCTATGGATCCCGCCACCCGAAAACATTTTTCCACAGTAGATACACTTGAGTCGGTAACGGTCGCCATTTCTGAACATTTGACAATGCTTCCACGCCGGGTCATGTTTTTGCGAGCTAACAGGTACCGGTTCCGGTTCAGATGCCATGACCAAACTTAAGAAAACAATAGGTCTTAAACCGGACAGAATGACTCTTTATAATTTGAAAACACTGGTGCGACTGTTCCAGAGTCTACAACAAAAGCTTCCACTCTTTAATTGAAAAACAAATAAATAAATACAATAAATCAACACAGGAAAGACCCTTTTGCTCGCAGGCATATATTTTGCAGAGAGAGTTCCAGTCCAGAAGCCAAAAAAAAGGGAAATTAGCCGGAAAAAAAAGGGGGCCACGGTACTTACTTGTAACTTTTGAAGTCTTCGAACGCTGGGCGCGCGGAGGGGCGGATGGTGGAGGAGAGAGAGAGAGAGAGACCCCTTTTCCCTGTTGAAGAGAGGGAAAGAGGAGGGTGAGGAGCGGGTCGCTGCTTATAAACCGCGGAAGGGAGTCGAAGTCTAACCGGATGAACCGGTTAGTTATGCCGAGGGCAGCGGGTTTCTCTCCTTCTCGAGCCGATCTTTATTTTACCGGCTCAGCCGGTATTTACGCGGTCAACTTCCCAGTGAGTCTTGGGCCGCTTGCAGAAGGAATAGCAGAAAAATCCGGTTGCCGTGCTGGAAAGCCGGAGACGGTTCGGAATCCGTTCAGACCGCCTGGAGAACGCCGTCTTTCGGTTGAACCGGTGTCTTCATCGAGGTTTTCAGAGCTTGCTTTTATTTCTTTTGTTGCCCCTGAGAAGACAAAGAGGAAGACGTCGACTGACTGGGTTACTCTGATTGGTGAGATCCGATTGATCTGCGGAATGCCTGTGAGAGTGGTGGAAAGTTCGGCACCTTCGCAAGTTTCAGGTACGGTTAATTTTGACTTCCATCTGTCTTTTCTAGAGAGATCCAGATATGATTCTTATATGAAAAACGATTTCCTTTTTCTAATGGTCTTCTCCATGTTGGGTTTCTGTTTTTGAATCTCTTTAATCTCCGAAGCTAAAAATATCTATTGTTGTTATTGGATAATCAGAACTTACAATAACGATAAAAAAAAATCATAATAACTTATGATGTATTGTCATTCAAGGGGCTAAAAGAGGAGATCAGGGTTAGATTTAGGGTTAGGGTTTACATGAAAACATCGATGAACCGTCCTTGATTTGTTATTTTATCTAGGGTTACCATCATCGGGTTGGTTTCGATATGATGAGTCCACTAAACCTTACCGAAGGTTGAATCCCGTATTTGATCGACAGTAGACCTCTGAGAGAGACAAGACATAAAATTTGAAGGAATCTACACGAGCATGCAACCAAGAAAGATATGAAATACATCAAGCAGATGGAAGTGGGTTGTTTCTTGGAGAGGTTATTATAACCATACAAACTGACACTATATTTCTACTAACATGATGCAAACAGGAAAAGGCTTTGATGTTAATTAGGATTAGGATACCTATTTAGCATTGATCTTCAAGTTACTGTAAGTTCTTTTGAATTTAGTAAAGAGCAAGCTAGTTTAGTTTAGAATTCTCATCAAGATTGTTTTGCTAATATATTCCTTCTCAGGTCCACTATTGTTTTGCTTATAAAATTCTAATAGAAAGAATTCTAACTGTAACTTTCCATGTAAGGTGCGAGTTCTGGGCATGTTCTCCCTCCAGCTTGTACACTTCTGAGCGCAGGACAGGTAATCTGAACATTCGTTAGTTCTTGGAGCTTATAAAGTATTATACAGTAAAATTATGGTTCTCTCCGTTAAATTGTTTTCTAATGCAGACAAAATTCTAGATGTGGGATTCATTATAAAAGCCATTACCTAATGTTTGTACTGGCTATTTGGTGTCTTAGGGAAGAGGGAACTGGATAAAGGTTTAAAGTTTGGTAATTTTACACAACATGATCACTCTCAGATTTGAATGCACATTCTCATGCTTGTCAGCCCAAGATTTTACAATTGCACCAAGCATATTCGCATATGTCATCAAACCAAAAAGTCATATAAGGCCTCCATGGTCATAATATCTTGCTACTTTTCAATTGATATCTTTCAATGCTAGGAACATGCATTTGTGCATCATATAAAAGATATCATTTTGTGATGTAGACCCTTTTCAGTATTAAAAATCTCCTTCTCAGCTTCACATAAGTCTCCCAGAAATCTGATAAACAGATATTGTCAAATAACTTATGTTTATGACTTATCAAAAATAAGAAGGAATATATTAGCATTATTAGCAATAGGAATTTGGTAAGGGGTTGGAGGGTAGGTAGGAATTCGGTGGCTGAGATTCCTGTTATGAGCCCTTGTCATTACCTATGGATAAAGACAAGCTGTGGACAAAAGTTATCATTAGTATTCATGGGCTTGCGGCTAATGGCTGGGATTCCCGGATTTTGGCTAGGGCTTCTAGAGTATCTCCTTTGAAGTCCATCCATACAATCTTACCATCCTTCTTGCCATTTGTCAGGTATAATTCTTTCTCTAGAAATTGCGTCAAGTTCTGGGATCATGTGTGGTTGGTTAATTCTCCTTTGGAATAGCAATTTCCCTCTCTCTACGTCATTTTCATTGTGCCTATAATTAGCCGTTTGGTTTTGATTGGAACTTGGGTTTCAAGAGAGAGCTTCATGAGTCAGAAATAAGTGTTGTTTTGTCTATTCTCCAAAGGTCGGAAGGGGTTTTTCTGGATCCCACTAAAAAGGATAGTCAAATTTGGACTCTCTCCTCTTTCAGTTCGTTTTCTTGTCCCTCTTTCTTCTCAGTCTTAGTTCAGCCAAGGGATAGTTTGGGGATACCTTTTCCTATTGGGGGTTTTGGTGCAAGCCTGTCCCACCTCGTGTGGATGCTTTTTGTTGGGAAGCCTTTCTGCAGAGAATTAACACCTGTGGTTTACTGCAAAAAAAGAGACCAAATTGGTGCTTATCCCCTAACTAGTGCTCTCTTTGTAAGGCTAATGGAAAGTCTTGTTACCACTTATTAATCTCCCACCCTTTTATTTCTTCAATTCCATAATGCTTTCTCGCTTCGTTTGGGTGCAGGTGGAACCCCCAGCCAAACGTACAAAGCTTCTTTGCCTCTACCTTTGTTACCTGGCCAATGAAGAGGGGAAGATCTTTATGGAGGTGTACAAGGGCAGCTGTGTGCTGGACAGCTTGGGAAGAAAGGAATCGGTGGATATTTCTTGATAAGGAGAAAAGTAGGGATGCCCTGATCAAGGTCATTACAATTAGGGTTATCCACTAGGTGAAGTCTCTTGATCTTTTTGAGGGAGTCCATGCAGATGATTTGGTGAGGAATTGGAAGGTAGTTGCTGACTCAGCTCCTAGCAAGGTTGTGGTTAGACCAACTTGGTCCCCTCCTCCATGTGCTTTTATTAAATTGAATTTTGATGGAAGGAGTGAAGGAAATTCAGGCCCTTCAGGTATTGGGGGTGTCTTTAGGAATGAGGAAGGAAGAATTATTTGTCTACTTGGGATCAATTGGCATTAGTGAATAGTGATTCTTTGTGGGCTGAGATTATGGTTGTGCTGGAAGGTCTTTCTTCAAAGGGCTAGAGAGATGAATATCCAGAAGCTAGTTCTTGAGGGGGACCAATGTTTTGAAAATTGTAATCGTATCGTAAGTCGTAGACAAAGTTGAATCGAATTGAATCGTGAATCGTAAGATCATTTCTACTTTTTATAAACCTGTCAAAAATTTAAATATAGTTATGTTAAAAGGCTAAATATATATAGGAAAGTGGCTTTACCATACTTTTGATCTATATATACCTAAAATAATAGAATTTACCACTTATACAATAGAAGCCTGAGATGATATAATCAAGTTTGACTTGAAAGTCAAACAAATCCACATATATTGGCTCTTTAACTTACATATGATGCAAAATAAACTCAATTTCTAGTCTTAAATAACGTAAACAAATCATTTTCTAGTAAGGGCTTTATAAAATCTCCTTTGACAAAACTAAATATAAACCAAAACATAACAAAGTAGAAAACCAATTCTTAATTGAATTTATTTAAACTGTAGTGAATTGTAGAAGTTGCATAAATCGTAAGATTTATGAATCAAATCGTAGGATTCAAACAAAAATTGTAAGATTTTTGCAAAAAAGGATTCGGACATAAGATTCGAATCAAAGCTCTTGGGATTCATTCTTCAAATCATGAATCATATCGTAAATCATAAGATTTTGGCAACATTGAGGGGGACTCAAAGTTAGTTATTTGAGTGGCTGCAAAAGGAAGAGGAACCTGAATGGTGGTGCTATATAAATGAGAAAAGGAGTACATGGCTATCTCAAGGAATGGAAATCAATATGCAATGGGTGAAAAGGGATGCTAATTCATTTGCAGATACACTAGCAAAGCAGGGGGTGGGAAGGGACCATTTATTTTGGGTTGTATTTTAATTATGTTGTCTGTCTTTGGGAGAGTTAAGAGAGTTTATCTCTCCCTTTATCACCTTTGTACTCTCTATTAATCCAGTATTCCAATAAATCAGTTTATGTTATTCATCAAAAAAAAAAAAACTTATCAAAGAAAAGTAATTTATGTTTATTCTTTTCACTTATTTTGCCAGGAAAAAGTTGAATCAAATTCAAATGAAAAAGAAAGGAAAACCTTCTGAGTTTATTATAATGTTTCTGTGAATTCAAATAATTATTGGTAGATACTTCATTAGGTCCTCTTATACAATAAACTTTAAAAAGTGATTGTCCAGGTTATCAGGCAAAAAGAAAAACCACTTCCCGAGTTGTGGTTTTTCTTAAAACTTATAAACATACCAAAAACATTTAAAAGGTCCTCCGAGATCAATTTATCTTAACAGCATCCTGGGAGCCTCTAACATATAACTAATTCTCTTTTGTTAACAAAAAGGGTTTCTATAATCACCTTTACACTACTTCATCTGAATTTTATTCTCATAGGATGTAGTCAGCTCTACAGCTAAAAATATTGCATGGTTTACATGACACCTACATAATTTTTTTTTATAAGTTGAACCCCTACATAATTAAAACAATGAAAAAGAGGGTAGAAAAAACCTTGGCCTCTTACTGGTAACCATGGTTTGCTTGTATCTGAAAACAATGTAGCATAATTGAGAATTTCCAGATTTCTTCTGAGATTAATACAATGCAGAAGTTTTTGCAGATGGTTTGTCCTTAAGTTGAAAGCTTCTTGAGTTAGGTTTATGTTAGTTTTCTCCTCTTTCACCATATAGTCTCGCTTCATTTTCCAGGCTTTTTCTGGGACTCAAAATGTTTCTAATCTACAAAAAGATGAAGCATGGAGGGTTAATGTGCGAATCCAAGGTTGTGACCTTGATCATGGTTATCTATGTGGCACTATGGAGGCCCTTAATGTTCCTTTAGCAGAGACACCAGTAAGCAACCATTTTTCCTTCTTTTTTTCTTTTTTGAATTTTGTGTGACTTCTCTTTTTCCCTTTTCCTATGCATGTCATTCTACCATACTCTTCACTTACCTTGTCTTGGTTCTATGAAACTTGCATCACTGATAGTGCATTTTCCCATTCATTTACCTATTTAGAATTTCATTGTTAAATAACCATGTTATTCACAAAATAAAAGGCAGACCTAAAATCGCAGGCATGTGCCAATTTTCTTTTGTTCATCTAATTATCTTTGTGTTCATGTGCCTGGATATTCTAAAGCATGTGAAAGTTCTGAATGCTTTAGAAAAGATAGTTTGTTACACTATGAAATTCCTCCTGATGGTCTGTTCCCATCTCTTATGGCATGCCAGTATTGATTTTTTTTACCGTCAACAAACAAGAATTCTATTAATATTAATAAGATGTACATCAGATGTGGATATCCTTAGGTTAGCCACTGCTAACTGTACTACACCAGAAATTCATTACTTTACCACACCCCAAAACAAATTGTCCCTTGTAGCCCCCTGTTTGGCTAGCCCATCAGCTAGATTGTTTGCTGCCTGAGGTACCCAACTGATAGTTATCCTCATTGGTCTTATCAGGATTTTGATTTCCCTGACCATATGCCTGTAAACTCATGCCCCTTCCTGATTTAACCACCCTGTGACAACCTTAGAATCTCCTTCAATGACAACACTAGTGTAATTAAGTGATGTTAACTTTTTGAGCCCTGTCAATGCAGCCCAAAGTTCTGCTCTTGTTGAATCTCCTACCCCATTGGGCCTGAAAACATGGCAATTATGTTTCCCTCACTGTTCCTTATCACTTCACCACCCCCTGACAAGCCCGGGTTGCCTAGGCTGCAACCAAAGTTCATTTTAACAAGTATGGAAGTGGAGGAACACCATTACAGCAGCTGTTGAATTCTTCCAACTAAAAGATTCACATGGTGATCCTTCTGATCCTCTTCCCTGCCAGGCTGTTCTCACCATGTACATGAAATGCATTTCCTCTCTTACAAGTGCATTATTCTCCCACGTCATGCTACAAGATTTTGCTTGTTCACTTTGCCCTTTTCATTTGTTTACAGACACATGCATAACTGAGGGTGGACCTTGGTGCAACGGTTGGGTTGCACCATTGCAACCTGCATGACCAGGGTTATCTTGGAAGCAGCCTCTTTATGTATTGGCATGGGTAAGGCTGCGTACATCTGTCCCTCCCCAGACCCCACATTGGCAGGAGCCTCGTGCACTGAGTTGCCCTTTTTTATTTGTTTACAGACACATCTTATGCTGTAATCTGGATAGCTAACATATTGAGCATAGCAGGCTGTGTATATGTTCTTGAACCCAGCCTTTTTTCCTTCCACTACCTCTTGCATGAGTTATAAAAATAAGAAGAAAAGGGTTATTTTCAAATGAAATAGGGATATAGATTATAGACTTGCATTGCATACCCAACTCTATATTCTTCTCCAAGTGTCCTGCATTCATGTTGCTTTCCCCAAGCTGCAAAAAACACATTAATACTGTCTTGACAAGTAGGGGTGCAAATCAGGTACCTGATTTGAAGAAACTCCATTTTCCACTACATCAAGCCTTGACACTTGGGCTAGCCCCTTCAAAATTTAACAATTGGTTAACTTCTCACATCATCTTTGGACTTTGGCCCTATGATGCATTGGAGTGCAAAGCTGTCTCCTGGAAACAGTGCTGTAATTAATCCAAGGATGGAGACTGCAAGGCTTAAGTAGTAGAGGGAAGGTTCTTTGGGAATATTGCCTGCTGCAATTATCTGGACAGCATGGAGAGAAAGAATCTTGCACATCTTTGACAATAAATTCTCAGACATGGATACAATAAGATGTAATTTAAAAGGGCTGCTATGTTCATTGTTAAGCATTCAAAAACCCTTTCAGGGAGTCCAGGCAGGTGCAAATTTGCAATCAGCCTTGGCATTCCCCAATCTATCTCATTCTTGTTAACACCCTTCCTTGCTAGAGTATCTGCTAATCTGTGAATTCATCTGAACAAGCAATTCAGATTGAAAGGTAACACAAGTACATCTCTAACCATATATCTTAAACTCCAAGGTCCTTCAGAACTTGATTGCAGTACCACCACCTGTTAGTCACCTTTGATCACCACTCTTTTCCATCCATTTCCATATACTTATTTCAACCCTTGTAAGGGATCTAACAGTTTAGCTCTCACAGAGTTACCAAGCCTAGTTGGTACCATAACTCGTTAAAATGCTCCCATCATGGCCTCGGACAACCCCTCCCACACCTGATTGACCTGGATTCCCAAGGAAACTCCCATACAAAATTTAGTCGAATTTACCAATTGTAGGTGTTGTCCAATGTACAGATATTACATCTCTTGGGGAAGAAAATCTGCCCACAGCCTGTTCAACTCTTAAGATCAAGTTAATTGTAACTCTTTTAAACTCATCTGTGGTCTTCACCCAATGAAAAGCCCTAACCACACTAAGATCAATGAGTAGCAGCTGAAGAATATAGTTCATATGGATATTCTTGGGCAGCAAATCCTTTGAACCAAGGTCATGGTGAAAATTGGGTTTTATGCTGGATTTTTCTGCTGGTTCACCCAGGTTAGACTTCAATAGTACCCAGGTTTCCCCCCAACCGCAAGATCTAAATTTTTGTAACTTGTTCAGTTCACTTAAAATAAATTAGATTTGCACTTAGGTTGGAGACCAAGAGATAACTCAATGTGACCTCTTCCATTGCTTCAATTAAATAATCCATATCTATATCTATACTACTATTTAAAGTATGAATGAGCTTGTGGAGCTTTTCTTCTTGATTAAAATACCCCTTAGAATTTGGTCACTCTTTAATTGTGAGGGCAGAAAATGTAATTTGAGCTACTACTGTTCACCTCATTTAATTCCCTCTCATTAAGTCTTATATTTAAGACATTAACTCCCATTCTCTCTCATTGAATACTATATTTATGATATATATATATTTTTATGAATGATTATAATTTATTAAAACAGAAATATGAGGCAATACAGTAGACCCAAGAGGAGGCACGAGTTGTTACCTCTTCTAACAAATATTACATCAAACTAAAGCAGAATTGACCAGAATTAACCAGAACTAAAATTACAAAGCAGCCCAAAATAAATGTTCCCTTGAGGTCCCTTGCTTAGCTAACCCATCTGCTAAGGCATTTGCTGATCTTCCCACCCAATGAAAGGTAACAGCCATGTCTTTTGTGATCCAGTTGACTTTCCTTAGCATATCTCTATGTCGCCACATAGCTGAAGCTGGTTCTGTCAGCCATCCCACAACAATCTCAGAGTCCCCTTCAACTACCAAGTGCTGGACTCCTAACTGTTCTGCAATCTGAATACCTTGTACTGCCGCTAATAACTAAGCTCTATTGGAGTCTCCTATTCCCACGGGGCCTGAAAACAATGCTAATATTTTGCTTTCATTATCTCTCAGCACCCCTCCTATTCCGGAAGGGGCTGGGTTTCCTTGGCTGCTTCCATCAAAATTCAGCTTTACCCATCCTTCAGGTGGAGGCATCCACACAACAGAATTCCTGTCCTTCCTTGTATGGCTGTTAGCCACCGCTAACCAGTTTCTCCAAAAATCATCAAAGGAGAATGTATAAAATAGGTCCATAGTTCTCAACCAATGAATGGCCCTGTTTAATATACAGTCCTCAACAGCATATTTATGATATTTTTCTCACCAATAAATTCTGCTAATTAGATGGAAAATCCATGTTTTTTACAACCAAACAAAAAAATGAAGTTCTTTTGTCCAGATGGCAAGTAACCAATTCAACCATCTAGGTCAAATGGGTCAACCCATGATTTCATAATTGCATAATAATTTTTTTAAATAAAAATAAGACAAAATTATAGAAAATAAAACATTTTGTAGAAACTTTATATTAATCATATTAATGAAAAGTAAGTGCGATAAACATAAATTGTTTTTATTGATGATAGAAATGAAATACAAAATTTAAAACAGACCAAAAAATGAAATTTTCTTGTTTGGTGGCGGGTCAACACTTCAACCATTCTGTGATAACCCTTGATGTCATAATTAAATAATTAAAACTAGAAAAAAAAAAGATAAAAACACAAAAAATGCAGAGATTGTGTAGAAAGCATTTGGGCACATCTCTAATATTATATATTCATCATGTTAAACAAGAGTAAGTGTGATAAATAAGCATTATTTTCATATGATAGAAACATAAAAAAATGTAGAAAATTTTGGAGATATATTTTTACTGTAAGGCCATGGAGTGTGGTCTATACCTTGAAAGTCTGAGGAGGATGGTCTGAATTGGGAAAGGGAGGAGGAGAGAAGATCTGGCCAAACCCCTGGAGGGGCTGTCTACATACCCTCCAATGAGTGACCAGGCCTCTGTAGTTCGCCGAAGCTGGAATTCTGGTAAGAAAGGAATATGAGGAAAATAGGTCAGTAGTGGTGTGAGAGAGAGAGAGAGAGAGAAAATGTGTAGGAAAAAGAGTAGATGGGTCTGAAATGAGAGATGGGTTAAAAAGGTTCTGAATTTGGGTGAGTTACTTATTTACAAGTCAAATGGGTCTCCTACATTCCAGAACTTTCTTAGACTTTATCTTTACCATTTTACCCTTTATTTTTATGGAATGTTCTCATACTTAATTAATGCACATGCTTTTAATTGATATTATGGAATGCTCCAGCGCTAAGTGTGCCTTTGAATTAAATATATAACATAAGAACAGATTGGTCTGACCCGGGTTTAGGCTGAATCAGCCAGGTGAGCACACTTTTATGACTCCACCGTCTTACAATTACTATGACCATCACCATCATCATCATCATGACATCATCTAAATTTTCTATGTGAAAAGCACATGCACATTTACTAGTCCATAACAAGAGAGAGATTGAGGAGGATGTCAAAGATAGAATTAGAACATGGATGGATAAAACAGGAGTTGCATCTGAAGTCTTATGTGATAGGTRGCTCACAGGCTAAAAGGAAAATTTTACAAAATTGTTGTAAGGCCAGCAATGTTGTATGGAGAATGGTGTTGGCCAGTCAAGAAACATGTCCAAAAAATGAGTTTGGCAGAAACGTGAATGTTGAGATGGATGAGTAGAAAAACTAGAAAGCACATGGTCAAAAATAAACTAATTCAAAGGAACCTATGAGAAGCTGCAATAGGTGATAAAATGAGGGCAAGTAGAGCATCTATAGAACCTGTAAGAAGAAGTGGTCTATCACAATTAACAAGTTGAAAGGGCTAGAAGAGCTAAGGGTAGATCAAAATGGACATGGGTTGAAGTAGTAAGAAATGATATGATGGCTCATAATTTAACAATGGATATGGCACTGAACAGAACAGAGTGGCAAAATAGGATTCATGTAGCGACCCATATGGTTGGGTGTTGGGAGTTGGGACTAACCTTAGATGATGATGATGGTGTTGTTTAGTTCACTTCAAAGATTTCAATTCCTGTAAAAAGGTGATGATATGTGACTTCAGTCAAAGTTCTAAAGACTCCATCATTAGATATCTGCCCCCCTCCCCCTGCCTGCCCCTGAAGATGTGTACTACTTTTGGGGTACTAACATTCTCTCTCTTCTTTTTTTGGTAAATCAGGTAGTAACATTCTGGGAGGGAGAAATTGTTGATACCAAGAACTATACTTTCTTCACTGGCAAGTGGGAAGCAACGTATGAACCTCTTTTCCAACCCCTTGAGCAAGCATGACTGAATTAAAATATCTGAAGATAATTTCTGGAGTTAAATAAAGATATATTAGACTCTACAAAGGTTTTGTTCAGTGATTTCCAACTGTGTTGATTGGAAAAAATATCCACATATAAACATTCTACTTTTTTAACAGGCCAGAGCATGATGTACGGCACTGGTCCAAGTTTCCATCATTCTCTCCTCTTTTGGTAAGAGACCAATATTTCGTTCACAAGAAAAGTTTACATTAAACTTAACAAATATGTTCCTTTTCAGAGTCAAGTAGAGATTGATGGTGGTAAATCTTTGGACCTCAGCAGCTACCCATATATATTTATGGTATTGTAGTCTCAAATGTTACACGATGAAAAGTAATTTAAATTCCATTATATTACAGCATCATCTCACTTGGTTTTGCCTTTACAGAGATGGAAAGAACAGTACTTTGTGAATGTTGGAATCGATTGTGGCTTGACTATTGCTGGATTTTACTATGTGTGCTTCTCTTGTAGTGATGGCTCTATCAGTGGCTTCTATTATGACCCTAACAGCAGGTAGGGTGCCTTGCTGAGGATGTTCGTTTTTATCATCCACCCACCCCCTCCTTACACACACACACACAGAGAATAAATGATGAAAAAAGAGTAAAAGAGTCATTAGGCAATGATGATCCAAGCTATTGAGGGAGAGAATAAATGATGCCCCCTTCTTTTACCCTTGAGATTTGCATGTGTACATTAAATTTGTACCTCTCTGAATGAATGATTGCCCAGAAATTGCCAGGATTATAGTCCTACCAATGCAACTAATGAAATTCTCCATGAAAATGCATCTGTATAGACTGCATAAATGCAGAACACCCAAAAGGCAATAAATAAACAAAAAGGAAGTAACTTGGGCACTCCCCTAGTGCAAAAAAAATCTGACCTTAGACAATTATGATGAAAAAAATTACCTTAGGATTCTGTTGTCTGTTTAAGAGTATATTTTGACCATTAAGTTGGGATTATGTTCCTGACCCCACATAGCTGGGATAAGGCTTAGATGATGATGAAAACATTTTGACTATTAAGGATTAAGGAAAATAAGATAGTAAGTGGAGCCTTCTTTTGAATGTGAGATCTGTTTTAGTTCACAGGCCTTTGGAGTTTCCAATGTCATCATGATTTTTTTTTTTTTTTAAATAACAGAGCATGCAGTGAATAATTTTAGTCTCCACCTGATTTGCAGCCCATTTCAGAAGCTTGAGCTGAAATCCACAAATGAAGGAAGATCAGGTTTCAGCTTCTCATCATATCAGTTACAATAGAATGTTTTCATTCGGTTTCATGTTGGTAATAAGAGTTTTAGCTATTATTTTAAGATGCTGTATTCTTATGAAATATAAGAAAACTTATAGAACAATGAAATTTACAAGCATAAGATTTCACTATTGTGATTATAGAATTACGCCATGATTATTGTGATGTGTATGCTCAAGTTAAAAGTTACAATCAGAAACATCATGATTACCAAACATGTGGTGATAGTACTTAGCTCCATTTCCATCTGTTTGAGGTTGTCATGGTATTCATTAGTTGGTAAAAAGGTATAACCTTCTCAGCACGTTCCAAATTCCAAACGGATGAAACTCTGTATCATGGTTGATGGTTTAAAAATTAAAACTCAGACAGGAAATGGAGGCAAGTTATCCCCCTTCGGCCTTTCCTCGAGCATATTGACACAGCAGGGTGGCCCATGCATTCCAGTGATGTTAGCGAACAAAGTTGGACATCAATTTTGGTTTAATGAAGTGGATGTATATACGATATACTGAGAAGAAGTCTGCATCTGGTACCAAGTTCAGTAGATGTATAAGTCGTCTGAAATAATAACAAAATGGGAAAAGATTAGGAGTTGTCACGGGGTGCATAAACTGAGTTCACATCTCTGCCCCATATCACATCCTCGCCGTGTATTAAAAACATCTCCCGATGATAGTACCAGTCCCAATGATATTGTCATCGGGAGATGTTCCCAATACACGGCGAGATGTGATCTCGCATGAACTCTACCAGCAAGCAAACTTGTGGACTGAAATCTCCATACCAGAAGTAATGTTATTTTCTAAGGAGGTTCAACTGTCAAGTTTCCCGACTGGAATACTCAACGGTTTTAACTGTTGATTCCCTGGTGGAATGCACAGAATTGGACCAAAACACATGCATCATAAGCTGAAAATAAATAGGCCCAGCTCATAGCGTCCGGAAAAGGGGAAGACGTGGAACAGTGGTCCAGCAGTATCATAAGCCTCCTCATTCTCTATGCCTGTTATCTTTCTCTATGCTAGCTAATTCACTTGCTGCTATTAATGTGTGATTGTCACAAATTCACAATACATGTATGATTACTTTCAAGTCCCACCATTTCGTTTAAAATTAAAGGCGAATAAGCTACAACACTCCCCGTGAATTTTGATGAATAGCACAGGTTACCAAGGGACATTTTACTAAACTATAACGACTATACATCTCTCTCTCTCTCTCTCGTGTGTGCGTTTGATCCGTCAACACAATCCAAAAGTGGGGGACCCCCCGGTAGACTTGGGAGAAAAGAAAGATAGATAGATATGCAACAAACAAATACAAAGACGAAGCGAGTTGGCGAGTTGCGCAATTCAATCAATAATTGTACATCCTCTCATCCTCGTGTGCTCACGCGATTGGTTACTGTTTGGTCAAAACCCCATGCTTCAAATAAAACCATCATCTCTTTGCATTTACCCCACTTCATGAGGGAGGTGGCCCCTCTTTTATGTCCCCACGCTCTCCTCCCTCCTCGCCATTTCTCATTCCCGACCCCCTCGTTCTCTCCCTAATTTAATTAACCCTGGTTGAGTTAAATCCCCAACTCTACTATTTTCTATTTCTATTTAGCATCTCTGATCTCTCCTCCAACAACACCAACGGGAGTGGTAAGTGGTTATCTCTCTCTTCTCCCTCTCGTTCCCTGTTTGTAAGCTAAAGAAGAAAACAAACAAAAGTTACAACGTACAGTCTTTGCAGATTTTTCATGTCAGACAATTTCACTTGTCCCTTCGCCCCTTAGATTATTATTGAATGCCGACGGGTACATGCACTTGGCCGCATCTTCAACTCCTTCCCTCATTTGTAGCTGCTAAACCTTCCTCAGGTTCTGCGTTGTGTATTTTATTCACTCACTCACTTTGGCTTTGGAGATTTATTAACTAGACGAGCTGATCAGTCTGCCTTGACCTTGAGAGAAGTAGAGAGCTACCGACGAGCCGACGCATGGATAGCCTCTTACACTGCGACGAGGACTGGCTTTTTACCACTCCTACAACTACGCCTACGCCTACCATCCCTCTCTCTCTGCACCGCGAATTCAATCTTGAGAGAGAGACCCCCGCCGGTTATTCGTTCTACTTCTACACCACCACAGAGGACCACCACAATGCTCTCCTTCTCTCTCTGGAGAAGGAGATGACTTACATGCCTGACCTCGGATACTTGCAGCATCTCAAGTCGTTGGACGTTGTGACTGCTCGCGTCAATGCCATCAAATGGTTTATCAAGGTCCTTTATTACATCTTCTTTCTATTCATCATCATCTTTTGCAACTCTCTAAAGTCAAATCAATTTTTTTTTTCTTTTTGCTAATAAGTTCTCTTCTCCTTGTCAAATTTTCAGTCTCAGCGCCGGTTGAATCTCTCTTTGACCACAGTTTTTTATGCCGTAAATTACTTCGACCGCTTTGTTTCCATGGAGTACTCCAAGGTAAAACGCCTCGGGATGCATGGTTTAATTTGTATGTAACCACTGTTACAAGACTGTGTCTGTTTGTTTGTTTGTTTGTTTCTAGCTCAAATATTTCAGCATGAAATATATATATATATATAACATTTTTCTTTCCCTTCTTTCTCATTTTTCTTCTTTTTTTTTAGCAGAAATGGAAATATTGGATGATTGAGCTACTGTCCATTGCATGTTTATCCATTGCCGCCAAGTTTACTGAGGTATCCATTCCTCCACTACACGACCTTCAGGTGGGTTTTATTTTTATTATTATTGTTTTGTTTTGCTTTGTTTTTTGTTTACACGTTAATGAGCTTCTAATCAAGCAAAAGGGGTGTGGGTGATTGAAGATGGAGGATCTGGACCATTCTTTCCAAGAGAACACGATCCAACGGATGGAGCTGACGGTGCTAAAGGTGTTAGATTGGCGCATCAATTGCGTAACGACCCACTCGTACGTGGATTTACTAACGTGGCACCTAAATTCCCTCCAACCTCTCCTTCACGAGGCCATAACGTCTCGCCTAAATGAGTTGCTTCTCGGCTCTCTTTCAGGTAATTAGAGAAAACAGACAGCAGTATATATATTATATATCAGTCAGTCCTCTCTGCTCTCTACTGCAACTTAATTACAGAGTCCCACCAATTTACTTTTCTTGCAAGTTTATTCTGAGATTGCTTGGATAAACAGATAAGTGATGAAATGATTGAACAGATCCCATATTCCTCGAGTTCAGGCCATGCATTGTCACACTATCAGCATTAAAATGCTGTTTGGAAGAATTGCTTCCATCAAAAGCTGATGCCCATATCTCCAACATTAGCAGTTTCGTCCCTCAAGTTCAGAGGGTACGTTATTTGATATGAAGACTCAGACTCAGAATCTACATGTTCAATTATGGTTAATTAGTCTATTCCTTAATAAAGTGCGGTTCGATGCAGGCCGATATAGAGAAGTGTCACAAGATGATGGAAGAGCGAGTGGCAGACCCATCATACAGTAGTACTTCTTCAATGGCTTGTGGGTGTGGGCGCCACACCTACTGCCCTTCAAGCCCCACTACTGTATTAACAAAGAAGCAGATCGACACGAGCGAATGCTACGTCCATGATCTCTGTATCTTCAGGATGTCCGGTTCGAATATCAATTTCCAACGAAACGGAAAGAAACGAAAGATAGAAGATTATGATGACCCCATTAGCAGCAGCCAGCAGTAGTAGGGACTCCAACCATATCACAGTTCGTGATCCTTCACCCGATTGTGTGCAAATTTAGTTTCTGCGTTTTAATAAAGCCCACCAAGCGAGTAACCTTACTAGCTCGATCCAACCAAAACTCACATTCCATTATTGATTTTCTTCTGATCACTGTCTATATTAAGTCCATGAGGATTTCATTAGCTAGCACTGATGGATGGATGGATGGATGGATGGATGGATGGATGGAAGGCATATTATTTAAAACTCCAAAGGGGTTTTGTCATCTATGATTTATTTACTTATTATTTTGATGTAACCCAGGTGTGTAGCAGGGAATTCATAGGTGTAACTTTTTAGACCAAATTCTGCTCGAAGAAAACAAAGTTATATAGATGGAGCAAAAATTTAACCTTTGGAACTGTAGAAATAAGATTGGAATCTACGCCCTTTAGTACATAAATTAGGACCTCAAGTGATTAAAAAAAGGGTATTCATCAAAAAAGGGGAAAAGGGGAAAAGTTATAAACAAAAGGGGAAAAGTTGACCAAGCAACAATATGTTCGTCCAATGGTGCCTCCCTCTTCATTTGGTCTGGAATATCCTTAATTACCTCGTTCTTTTTACCAACCACTGTAACATAATATAAACAAATATGAATTACTAAACCCCGAAGAACGTCGACGTGGTAAGGATATTGAGGTTTAATATATCAATAATAGGAAAAAGGAATTTGTTTCTCAGAAACTAAAACTTCAAAGTAAATCACCAACCCGGTTCGATCTAATCCGAGTTGCCGATTTTTCTTTAGTATCGGTCGGTTTTGGGTTATAAAAAAATATAAACCGATGGTTCGATTCGATTTTGATTTTTATGTATAAAAACCGAAACTAAACCGACCTTAACCGAATTAGATATTATATATATATATATTTCAGTTTTATATATATCTGATATATTTCAGTTTTATTATATATCTGATATATTTCAGTTTTAATATTTATATTTCACATATATATTTGTGAATATATATATTTCAGCTTTATTTCGGAAATATACATATTATGTATAAAATTTTAACTTTAATCTATCAAATCATTTTTAATTTCCAGGCATCCAACCTTCGCTTCTTAGACTTGATCCTTTATCGTTCCCATCGAGAGAATCCTTGACCCAAACCGACTAAAACCGACCAAATTGATTTTATTTAGTACTGAATCGGTTTCAGTTTCATTTCTAAGTAAACCGACCAGACCGGGTCGATTAAAAAAACATCAATAAACCGACCCAACCCGGCCTGTAAACAGCCTTACTTCAAAGACCTGATTTACAGATGGGATGGGAAGAACCATCCATTGAGGACGCCCCGCCCCATCAAATGGTGGATCGTCCAGACTTCAATTCCAAAACTAATACTTAAACTAACAAGGTTGAGACTTGAGAGAGAAACTGATGAACAAAACCAGGAAAGAAAAGAAAACCAGGAATATTAAAAGCAAGGTTCTTTTTGCTGTATCTATCTGTCCGCCGGGTTATCTGATTGGGATATAGGATTGATTGGTCGCCCGGTCGGTTCCTAAAGCGATTTTGGGTCATTGGAGAATGGAGACGGAGAGAAGTGAACCCCATTACGGATTCAGACATGAGCTCAGGAATATGGGGCCCGACCCACCAGACACGCGTGGCAATATGGGGCCCAGATTAACTAACCTAGTTGTTGATTGGAATACGTCAACCCAGGCCAGCATGCATCCTCATCAAAAAATGAAATAGAAAAAATAGCTTAAATTAGAATTAGTCCATGATCACCTGATCAGAAGTGAGGAGCGCCAATGGGTGGTATTATGATTTATGGGTGGGGTGCGGCTGTGTTAGAACAACTTACTAGATGAAGCAAAATATAATACCTGTATAACCGTGCCAGCGATTGGAATATTCATGCCGGTGCCGGAGGACATATTTGTTGTGGTTCTTGTGGACGACGATGAGGATAACGATGATGATGACGATGGCGATGACGATGACGGTGACGATGACGACCCATTCATCCCGAGCAAAGAAGAAACAGCCCCCCTCACCTTCCCCACGACTCCCGTTCCTCCAGGGTCTTCCCCTGGACTTATTGCATCTGACGTCACCTCAGAAAGCGCTCTCTCCCCTTCCTGCCCGTAGCTATTACTCTGATCAATCACTGAGGCTGTTGTCGCCGAGCCGTGAACTTTTGAAGTGATCCTATGGGTGACCTCCGTAGCAGCATCCTGTGCCGGTGCATGATTCTCAGGCAACACAGTTGCAGTAATCATGGCATATGATGGTGCAACGGTTTCCGTAATTGTCTTTCTAGGGGTGTTCTGCTTGTCTTGTTCGTTACGGGGGACGGCGCTGGTTATCAAAACATTCTTGTCAGAAATCACAGGATTCGTTCTTGGGTGCTGCCTTGCAGTCTCTTTGCACTCTTCTGGTGCCATCTCTGATTCATACACTGAAAATGGAAAGAAAAGAAATGAAAGAGTAAAGCGAGAGCGAATCTCGAAAAATAAATGCATGTCTTCACTGCTTGAATCATTTAAGTAGAATTTAAACAAATTAAAGAATTATTGAAAATTTGATTACTGGGGGCTCCAAGGTATTCCGGATCGTCATCTTCAAAATCGTCATCGTCCAGACTTACACCCCAAGAGGGAGTGGCATCGTCCTTCTTCTTGGCAAGAGTGTTTCTCCATTTTTTTGCCTTCTCTTTCACCTTGTCCAGAACAGATTTCTTGAACCGGTGACCATCATCTTCCTCTTGATGATTCACTAATGAAGGTATCGTGGGTGCAGCCCACGTCGACTGATCATCTAGCTAACAAAATTTATGTTCAGTACCATATCATAATAACACCATGAAAAAAAAAGCAATCATAATCATCAACAAATAATAAAAGAAAAAAAAAAACTGAAAACGTGCTTAGAAGTTCACCTTGAATAAGTTGATGATGAACCATGGGTGAAAGGGATCTTCGCAATCTGGGTGTCAACCAGGAGAATTTAAGAGTGTAATTTCATAGAAAAAGAAACAAAAAAAAACAGAAAAAAAAAAAGAAAAGAGAAAAACAAGAAGTAGGATATCAAAACGACGAACTATGAAAAGCATCAGCCATCGGGAGACCGATGCTACCGGCGTTCTTTTCCGGATTTTGGTATATGAGAACGGCAGAACGCCTCGTATTATTTGATAAATCATCAATTGCTTTGTTCATGGCATTCCTATTCACAAGTGTCGGCTGGCTTACTTTCTTCCCTTCTTTCTCACCACGTGGTTACAAATCGACGGTCGATACTGGCATAACCGCCGTCGCCGTCGACTAGGTCCTATTGTCCAGACCAACCGTCATCCCGGTCCATATATAGGCTGTGGGTCTCGTGTTTTTTCTTTTCTTGGACGAAATACTAAAATCTTCCCTCACCTTTGTCGAATTGAGTCGTATTTAATGAGGATGAAACTAAAAAATAAAGGGTAAATCTACGATGCCGGAAAGTATGACACCTGAATGTTAACGATAGTATTCAATTACAATTTTTTTCCGGCATGGGAATTGTTAACGATATTATTATAATTATTTGTATAATTTCTCAATATTTGATGCATTCTTATGTCAACTCCCAAAATTTTAACATATGTAAGGTGTAAAAGTTAAACATGATACTCCTGATCCGACTGTTCAGTACAAAGTTTATTTTTACTAATTAGTATGCTTTCTTTGTTGTTATTTTCTTTGATAGACTTATTCGACCATCTCAATTACAGTGTGATACAGTGTAGGGCATGTTGGGATGCACTGTGAGTAGGTGTATGGAATGAGGAATGAATGAGAATCACATTGGAAAGATATAAGAAATGTAAGGAACTTATATATAAGAGTGGCCCATAACCCAATAGCTTAGGTTTTTGGGTTATAATTGGTGTCCATCTCTTGTGTATAAGTCTTACGGTGTGTACATGTATGAAGCCCCCGGTTTTGGCAACTCCTCATGGTTCGTAACCCCTCTCGAGACCCAACATCAACGATTAGGGTGGCTCAAGGCGAACTCTTATGGTAAAGCTATCAAAGGCATGGCCTATGGGGGTTGATTTCTAAGTTGGGCCGTGGACAAAAAATATTAATCTATCTGTTGTATCCCTAGATGATTTTTAAGTTGCCTTAGGTGTTATGGGCCCGGGAATAGGATCTCGTCCCGGGTTGGTCCACGGGGAAAACCCTCTGTTTTTCCTTGTTCATCCCTTCTCTTGATGGACCTATCTAGGCGCCCTAATGGTGATTTGTTCAAGAGATCACCTAACTCTACTTTACTCTCTTTCTTGATTGAATATTCGATATCCTCATTCAATAATGGTGTCTCCTTAAATAGGAGATTACAAGAGTTCTAATCTTAGGGAGTCTCCTTGCTGAATAGGGAGACTTTCAATTCTATCTTGCTAAGGATAAGTTAATCCTAATCTGATAATAAGATAAAACTAATCATAATCTGATAACAAGATAAACTAATCATAATCTGATAATAAGATAAGCTAATCCTAATCTGATAACTTACTAACAAGATAAGATAAGAGCAATAGAATAAGATAAAAACAAACAAGATGATCTAATCTAATCTGGCAGTGGGTTAGATTCCTATTGCTACCGGCGGCAATGGTACGTCTTTCCGAGGAATGCGTCCATAACATTAGGGATGGATTTATAATGCAGGGCGTTCACTTATGCCCCACATCAACTAACTATTCATCTTAGATGAGCATTTGCCTTTCATGATTCCAATGATGACCTCTAGGGTACATGGGAAACAAGTTTCAGCTCTACAATATTATGAGGACATGAACACCCCCGAAACCAATGCTATGCCAACAGTAGAGAAGAACCCCACTCCTGCACCCTCAACCTTCACATCAAGCAGGGATCAAAATGTCATCAAGAAGAAGCAGTCTTTGCCCAAGCCATTCAAGCTTAAAAGACTTAAGGAAGACCCAAGGCCATCTCCAATAGCAATTCCATACCTACTACAATACCAATTTGGGTGAGAGAGTGACACCTAGACCGGTTAGGGACCCCTTTCATTCAATGCCTCGACCCAACCACTGTAGTAGCCTTATGAGAAGCCAACCATGGGGAACACTCTATGGGAACCAGTACCCCACAATCCAAAATCTTCTTTTGTCGTCTAGCATCAACTTGCAATATAAACAAAACCAAACTTACAATGTCCTACCTTGAAGTCGGTTGTCAAGGACTTAATTCAAACTCTGGTCACGGAATTCCCCAAACCA